TTTCTCATTAACGTGAAATCTTTGCACGACACTCAACTCAACTCCACTCACTCACGTGTTCATGCCCCCCAACATTAACTTTAAAATCATAACTCCCAGAAAGCCAAAGGCATTCCAAAGTTCCACACCGGGTTTAAATCCTTCCCAAAATTCATCTTCATTGTCTTGATTATATTGAACGCCACCATATGTAGACTGCAGGTCTTGCATCCATGTTAGAAAAACAAACATAGAAAAGAAAAGATTCAAATGAATTTAGATAAACTATATATATAACTATTTCTTACACCAGCATTATACTCTTTAATATTTTTGGATTTTTCTCAAAAATAAATTACACTAATTTAACTGCTTAATTGAGAAATGAAAAAAGAAAAAGCAGAAAAAGAACCACAAATTAAAATGCTACTTGAGAAAAATATGTTTGTTATATTACTTGTAATTGCTGATGAAGCATCACCATATGCCCAGATTTTTGGCTACCTGCATTGAACTCTCTCCATTTGCAGCAATGTTTTTTGGTCCCCTTCACTCCCCCACGAGGCAACCCAGCCCTGATAATGCTTGTCTTTCCCTCCCCATGCAATTAACTTTAGTATCTCCAGCTGCTTAGTTAATCCAACAATAGTTTTCTTGTGCAGTAGAATCACAACTGCATAGACAAGTTGAAGGAACCCTCTATCAGAATCCATCATGATGTCAAAAATGATGGCAGTGAATCCAAGATAAAGATTAATGAAACAATTTTTATATCATTTGCGAAAGTTGCTGTTGTTTTTCCCTTTCGCACCAGCACTAAATTAAGAAAATGATGTTCTCCTCTCCTACCATTTACTTATATAGCTCAGTCTATCATGTATGTGAAACTTGAAAATGAGGATCAAGGAGACCTGTGCACACTTTGATACTTAAAAGAAAAGGAACAAAGAAAAAGAAACCGTTTATGGAGGCATGATAAGCAAATGAAATGAATCGAAATGCTCAGGCAATAGGATTAGTAAGTTTCCTAACATGTATTACAGATGAATTGTTAACCTATCATTCAACAGAGCATAAAAATTATACATACTAGTAGATTACTAATTCTATTTTTAAAATAAAATGAAAATGTACATTGAAACTTGAGAAGAATAAGAGACTCAGAGTTTCTGAAAAAAAAAAAAAAAGCCTGACAAATTCAAGGCTTGCGTCTTATATAAAGAGCATGCAGCTTGTTCTTCATTCCTTACAAACAAGATGGTGAAACTAAACATGCATAACACAGAGATGATGCCGTATAACAGAAACAGTTGTCCTGAAGAGGGGTCACTGAGAAGGAAGCCTGGAATTTCACCTCACGAGACAAGTCCTGGAAGTTTCTGAAGAAGTATCTTGAACCTGAAAGAACAACAATTAAAGGTGTTTAATTCTGTTATTTTCCAATGGAGTAATGCAATTGAACAAGATGACATAAAGTCACCAACAAACCTAAGAG